TAACTTTATTATGGACAATGCGTTACGTAATTTTTTAACTTTCCACAATGTTGTCCATCTTCACTCACTTGACTTTCAAGCATGTCCTTTAAAAGTTATTCTTCATTCTTTAATTTTTCCCCTTGCATAATCTTTTGACTCGTTGGAAAATACAGCAAATTGCAGATTGCATTTTCTGATGGCTTAGATGTAGTTGGGTTGAGTTAGGCTGGGTTGTGTTGAGTTGGGTTGGGTTCAGATGGAATAAGTTGCGTTGAGTTGGGTTGACTTGGGTTGGATTGGCTTGGGTTGGATTGACTTGGGTTGAATTGACTTGGGTTGGATTGACTTGGGTTGGATTGACTTGGGTTGAATTCACTTGGGTTAGATTGACTTAGGTTGGGTTGAATTGAATTTGTGTACATCTTTTTTAGATACACTTCGTCAATCAGTTATCTATCTGAATTACAAATGATTTCTTCCTCCATAGTGTATTTTGTCATTACATACGAATCGCATTCCTGTCTTCTTCTTTCCTATACACTATACAGTTTTCTTCTTGTATTATCACTGTGCATAACCCCTCTCAACATTTTTTCTAGTTCCAGTGTCTTCTCAGCCTCTTTCTTCTATTACTAGATTTTGCCGAATCTTTCTCCTTTCTGCCCAGTCTCTTTTTTCCATTTTGATCCTCTTTATTCTACAACCAGTCCTTTCCTTGCCTGAACAGTACCTTTCCCGTCCCTTTCCAGTCCTCCTTTGTTTTTGCTCAGTTTTTCTCTTATATTATCAAGTATCAGTAAACCTCCCTACTCTCTGCTCGATATATTTCTTGTCTTCTCAGTGTCTCTCTTCTATTTACAGTTTTTTCCGAGCCTTTCTCTGTTCTTCTGGTTCTTGCTCGCTCCCCAGATCTTCCTCGACTTGTGGAAACAGTTTCTTGAATTGTTCTTACGCCGCACAGTGGGACGAAAGTGAAAAAGGGTGGACATGGGTATTTTTATTTTTATACCATGCCCTTCTTTACAGATTGTTGCTACCATAAACCGTAAAAGGTTAAACCATAAAATAATTGAGTCATATACAGTATGTTCACAATAAACACATTAGTATTGTACAGGTGGTCGGTAATAAATTGACCATAGAGTAACTACAAACTCTATTTTCATTTAAAATGAAAATAATACCAAAACTGTATTGGCAAAATATTGGTCATATAATATATACACGGCGTTAAAGATTGTCTTTCAGTTAATTACTTCTTTCATAAATTGAACAGTTTCAGAGAAAATGACTTGAAAACTGGTAATATGGGGAGTTTAATGGTGGAAAATCCACTATCACAAAAAAAAGAGTTATAAAACACCTGAATGTTAATTGGTAAATAATTAATGCAGATTTGAAACTGTCTGTTGAAGAAAAGTAAAAACAAAAGAAAACGCTCAATGAATGATGAACCAAGTCACAACTGAACAGATAACTAATTTATTAAATACTTGTAACAAATATAATAAAAATAACAATAGTGGCAAACGTATTAAAACACAAAACAACACAAAAGGCATACAATAAATTGAATACTGAATTTTGTCATTACATATTAACCTCTTTCCTGTCTTCCTCTTTCCTATGCAGTCTTCTTCTTGTATTATTACTCTCCCTACCTTCTGCTCAACTTTTTCTTTCTAGTTCCAGTGTCTTCTCAGTCTATTTCTTCTATTATTAGTTTTTGTTGAATCCTTCTCCTTTCTGCCTAGTCTTTTTTTTTCCATTTTCATCTTCTTTATTCTACAACCAGTCCTTTTCTTGCCTGAGCAGTTGCTTTCCTGTCCCTTTTCAGTCTACCTTTGTTTTTGTCAAGCCTATCTCTTATATTATCAGCCTCAGTGAACCTCCCTACTCACTGCTCGATATATTTTTTATCTTTTCAATGTCTATTCATTTTCTTTCTTCCATTTACAGTGTTTTCCAAGTCTTTCCCCTTTCTATACAATCTCCTTCTTCCATTTTCATACTCTTTATTCTATAAATAGTCCTTTTCTTGCCTCTATAGTTTATTTTATATCTTCTTGAGATACTTTCCTCGTTTTTGCCCATCTTATTTCTTGTATTATCAACCTCAGAAGGCCTCCTTTATTTCTCCCAACACAACTCAACCCTTTTTTTTTCTTTGACGCAAAGGAGGGAGGGGGAGTTGCGTTCTTCTAGAAACTAGGTTTCTTCAGCCGGTAGTGTGGGACTATATCTAGCCCCGGTACTATAGCCATTACTGCATCGACCGTGCTTCTTCCTTTTCTGTACCCATACTGGTTATTGTTAATGACTTCTTTTTCCTCCAGCTCTGTTAGCAATCTGTTGTTAATCAGGCGTTCAAGAAGTTTGCTCATTACGCTAAACATACAAAGAGGTCTGAACGACTTTTCTTGATTAGGTTTTGCGAGTTTAGATATCAATACTAGAACCGCTTTCTTTCAAATTTCAGGAAAATTTCCTTCTGTCAAGCTTTAGTTGTACACATCGAGGAAGGCGCGGGATTTTGATTTTACGGGTATTATTTAAGTGTTCAGAATTTCATTTGTAATTGTATATTCTCCAGGACGTTTTCTTAATTTAAGCTGTTTGATGCTCTGCTCTAATTCCTGGATGGTGAACCAGTCTGTGTCCAGTCCTCCTCTTTTCTGCCAAGTCTCTTTCTTCTATTATCAGTCCCCTTTCAGTCTTTCCTATTTTCTGCTCAGCCTATTTCTTGTGTTATCAACCTCAGAGAGCCCTCCTTACACTGCCTCCTTACAATTTCCAGTGTATTTCAGAACCTTTCCTTAATTTAAGCTGTTTGATACTCTGCTCTAATTCCTCGATGGTAAACAAGCTGGTAAGATGTTCCTTCTCCTGTTCTTCTAGTTCTTGCTCTCTCCCCTGATCTTCCTTGACTTGTGGAAACAGTTTCTTGAATTGTTCTTATGCCGTTTTGTAATCTATTAGTAACCCAACCCAACCTAACACTTTTTTTAACGAGGTTGGGGAAAAATCTGCAAACAGACACCCGGCCTACGCTGTTGTTCGGCCGGGTAGTGTGGGGATGAGGTTTAGCCCCGACCCACAAAAAAAACCCTTTCCTCGTCTTCTTTCTCTCTCCGGAACCGCTTACGCATATCTTCGGAGACTCCGGTCTATGGGTGTTAATTCCCACTTTGTTCTTCTTCGTTACGGCTCCCTCTTTCCTCTTCTCTCCCACTAAATTCATTCTTATTCCTCTCCGGAGGACCTCTCGCATTCTTTCATCATGGGGGTTACTTCCTTACTCCCTCTCTTTTTCTTTGCTCTTCTCCTCTATCTCCTTGTCCATCATCACCCCTCGCAAGAAACTCAATAGTTCCGCTATAATGTCAATTCGTAGTTCTTCCAATTTTTGCCTCTGTAGCTTTACGGTCTCCTTCAAACTTGTGGCATTCAAAAAGCGTGTGGTTTGGAGTGTCCTGCTTTTCACATCCAAACCAGCAAACATCATAGTTTACCTTCTTTATACTTTTTAAGTATGTTGCAAAAATTCCGTGTGGCTCGTTATGACTTGTGTTGTGTTATCCACTTGTGGCCCTTTTTGTTGCCATTCTCTAACGTCTCTTTCGCGCCATTTCTCACCCAGCATCCGTCTAATCTGCGTCTTAGTCTTCCCATTTTCTTCCCAATTAATAATTCGTTCCCGCCAACGCTCGACCGTTCTATATGCTGATGTTATGCTTTCTTGATGTCTTCTTTCGTGATGACTTTCTTTCCATTGCTCTTATTCTGCTATTCTCTCATTTCCTTCCCAACTCTTATTTCAATGCTCTTCATTTTCCTTCTACCCTCCAATATAACAATCCCTGACTTCTCTTCCGCCATTTCTAGTCCCAATTATCTCATCTTTTCTGCAATTCTTTATATGCAATACTCCGCCTTGTCTCTTATCGCTTCCGGTGTCTTCGCCTTCACTATCACTGCTAAATCATCTGCATATGCAATCATAAATGCGCCTTCTTCCATTTTTAGTCTCAGAACACTATGATAGTCGCTCCTATCACTGAACCTTGGTACACCACATGCCATACTCTCTTCTCTTCCTCCTGGAAGTATTATCTTCCTTTCTTATATCTAGCATTACTATTATAGAGAGGCCTCTATGTGTTAAGGAAGTTTTCTTCTGCTCTCTTTTTCGGTGTATCATAGCATCTACTGTTCCTCTCCTCTTCCTGTATCTGTACTGCTCCTGACATAATATTCCTCTTTCTTCTATCTCCACCCTCATCCTTCTGTTTATGAGCCTTTTCTTTTCCCACAGTGGTCTATACGATCGCTCCGCTTTCTCTTTGCTGTGCTTTTTGATAAGTACTAGTACAGCCCTTTTCCATATTACTGGGAACGCTCCTCTTCTCCAGTAGCTGTTATATGTTTTTAGGAATATATCACCATTTGCTTCTATGCAGGTCTTTACTATTTCGTTACGCCATCATCTCCAGGTGCTCTTCTTCTCTTAAGCTGACTCAACGCATCTTGAAGCTATTGTGTTGTAAAAGGCTCAATCATATCATTATTTCTCTCTTCCTCTGCTATCTTCTCCTCTTCCCCCTCACTGGATGGACTCTATGGTCTCTAAATCTATTTTTTTCTTCTTGCACAAATCCTTATATTTTCTTTCTTTATTTCTCTTTATTATTATAGTGAGGTTCTTTAAGATTAGGTTCTTCTAAATAAATAGCATTTTGGGTGCCTCCTAAAGCTGGAGATGATGTTAACATCTGATTACTTAAACTTCTAAAAATGGTGTAGTAGCTCCCGAAACTAACTAAGATTTAGAGAATCTTGGGAACATGCAAAAACATGTCTAACAATGATAAATTGATTGCTGTCACTACCGCACATTCCAAACGTCTTGAAAATAGAGAATTTAAGAAACCAGGATTAAATCTTATTAGTTGTGTTTTTAAAATGACCACAATATTACAACATTAATAAAGTTTTAACTTTTTCTTTTTGTTATTTAGATTGGAATCCCCAACGAGATCGTTGGAGATAAGAGCACCCTCTGGTGTGGCAATAGAGTCAAGAGCGGGCGACATAAAGGCAATCTCGCTAAACGACATTCAACTAGATTCCATGGCTGGAGAAATCCGACTGGAATCGAGCTCGATTTTGATGCCAAAACTGCCGACCGCGATCTCTTCAACGAGTCCATCGCAAACGAGCAGACACCGTGACATTTTCCAATTGTGCGTGTGCAACAACGGAAAACTTTTTCTTAGTCCCCCACACACGACGTGTGCCGCTGAAGAAAATGGCCTAGCAACCCCTTGTCGATAAAGAATAAAAGGATCATTTAGAGAAGAAAAAATAAAAATAAAGCGCAACTTGAAGTAGAACAATTTCCAGTATATTTTCCGAAACTTGTACATAGCTTTCGCGTCGAAACGGACTGTCTATAATGTAAATAAAGCTGTACAAAAATATTAAATAAATAAATAAAAAAAGGCGAAAAAATCGCAAAAATGCGTGCAATCTGTCCCGTTAAAAAAAAAATAATAAGACAATGAATATATCATTTCCTGTATCATATTTATTACAAAATTTAAGTTAAGTATTTGTATAATTGTAACATAGAGATCTTTTATATTTGTTTATACAATTATTTGTTGTTAGATGAGCCTAAAAATACAAGGAAATGAAATACTTATGTAAAAGGTAAAATGTACAAAAAATAAAAAAATAAATAACCATCTTTCTAAAAATCGGTTTTATTTATTACAGAAAGCTTTTTTATTTTTTCAAAACATCTATAAAAGTCTCCCTGGGTAATTGTATATTCGCTATGCTCTTCATTTTCTTTTTACCCGCCGCTTGTTGAGCTAAAAGTTTCATTCTTCTCGTTACATCACCACCGTACTAAATAAAACATTATTATTATTAAACAAAATTATTTTATGTTAAACAATAAAAACAAAAAAATTTATCAAAAAACATACTAATTTTGCTGTAACATCTTTTCTATACGGTTTTAAAGTTTCACGTCCTACAATTTTCCCATTCACAGAAGCTTGAATGGCAATTTGAACTAATTGCCTTGGAATTATATCTTTTAATTTCAAAACTAATCTTTTTCCCATTGATTGAGCCCGACTTACATGAATGATATTACTTAATTCTTCTACTTGAACCCCATTCAACATTATACTCATCTAAAAAGAAATTAATAAATAAAATATATATTTTTAAATTAATAATAACCCACTTTAACCATCGCACTTTGTTTAAATCCCATATCTTCATAATCAAAAGTAGCATACCCCGACGAAATAGTTTTCAATGAATCGTGAAAATCCATAACAATTTCGCACAAAGGTAAATCATATTGCAAAAGAATCCTATCGTTATCAATATTTGATGCGTGTCTTTGTATTCCACGTTTTTCCATGCACAAAGACATAATTCCACCTAAATATTTATCAGGAGTTATTATTGTTCCCAAAACCATTGGTTCGTAAGTTTCTTCTATATAAATTTGCTCAGGGAAATGAGCGGGGTTGTTAATAAAAATGATTTGGGAATTTTCTTTAATGTTTTTCTTTGTAGGTTTTAATTTTATTTTATAAGTTACAGATGGTGCTGTTAAAATTGATTCGGCGTTGTATTCTTGTTGTAGTCTTTGGCAAAAAACTTCTAAGTGGAGTAAACCCAAAAAACCTAATCTCCAACCTTGTCCTAAAGCTGGACTAAATAAAGAAATTTTTATTTATAATAAAATCAACCAGTAAATTTATTGTGAAGCAACAATTAGTAACATTATACATACAGTGTGTTAATTAATTATCGTACTCGACGTTATCATTGCAAGTCGGCTAAACCCGAATAATTCTAGTTCTAAGTCTTGTGTTAATTAATATTTTTTTGATGAATATTAAAATAACCTTAATAAGAATTAAAAATGCGGTAATTTGATACCAAACATGACCTATATAGGTTAAAAAATTAAAAGTTAGGTGAGAATCTGTCAAATGTCAAAATCGAAATTAATTATTTTTTGATAAATGTTAAAATAATCTTAACAAGAGTTAAAAATGCGTTAATCTGATATCAAACACGGCCTAGTTAGGTTAAAAATGAAAAAATTAGGTTAGAAACTGTCAAATGTCAAAATCGAATTTAATTATTTTTTGACAAATATTAAAATAACCTTGAATTAAAAATGCTTTAATTTGTTACCAAACACGACCTAAATAGGTTAAAAAATGAGTAAGTTAGGTTAGAATCTGTCAAATGTCAAAATCGCATTTAATTATTTTATGATAAATGTTAAAATAATCGTAATAAAAATCAAAAAGCTTTTAATTTGATACCAAATATGCCTTATTTAAAGTTATTTAGGTTAAAAAATGAAAAAGTTAGCTCAGAAACTGTCAAATGTCAAAATCGAATCTAATTATTTTATGATAAATGTTAAAATAATCTTAACAAGAGTTAAAAATGCGTTAATCTGATACCAAACACGGTCTAGTTAGGTTAAAAAATGAAAAAGTTAGGTTAGAAACTGTCAAATGTCAAAATCGAATCTAATTATTTTTTTGACAAATATTAAAATAACCTTAATAAGAATTAAAAATGTTTTAATTTGCTACGAAACACGACCTAAATAGATTAAAAGATGAGTAAGTTACGTTAGAATCTGTCAAATGTCAAAATCGAATTTAATTATTTTTTGATAAATGTTAAAATAATCTTAACAAGAGTTAAAAATGCGTTAATCTGATACCAAACACGACCTAGTTAGGTTAAAAGATGAGTAAGTTAGGTTAGAATCTGTCAAATGTCAAAATCAAATCTAATTATTTTTTGACAAATATTAAAAATAACCTTAATGAGAATTAAAAATGCTTTAATTTGCTACCAAACACGACCTAAATAGGTTAAAAGATGAGTAAGTTAGGTTAGAATCTGTCAAATGTCAAAATCAAATCTAATTATTTTTTAACAAATATTAAAATAACCTTAATAAGAATTAAAAATGGTTTAATTTGCTACCAAACACGACATAAATAAGTTAAAAGATGAGTAAGTTAGGTTAGAATCTGTCAAATGTCAAAATCGCATTTAATTATTTTATGATAAATGTTGAAACAATCGTAATAAAAATCAAAAAGCTTTTAATTTGATACCAAATATGACTTATTTAAAGTTATTTAGGTTAAAAAATGAAAAAGTTAGCTTAGAAACTGTCAAATGTCAAAATCGAATCTAATTATTTTATGATAAATGTTAAAATGATCTTAATAAGAATTAAAAATGCTTTTATTAGATACCGCTCATGACCAATTTAGGTTAAAAAATGAAAAGGTTACGTTAAAAACTGTCAAATGTCAAAATCAAATGTCATTTTGACATTTCCATCCCTTAAAAATGAATATAACCTTAATATAACCTTAAACTGTCAAAATTGACGTTTGATACAATATCCAAAATTTTCCATTTCTTAAAAAAATGTGTCTAGTTCTAGGTCTAGTGTTAGTTCTAGCTTTACACTAGCACTATAGTATAGTGAAACTATAGTGAACTGTCAATTTTGACAGATTAAGGTTATAATTCATTTTTAAGAGATGGAAATGTCAAAATAACATTTGATTTTGATATTTGACAGTTTTTAACGTAACCTATTCATTTTTTTACCTAATTTGGTCATTTTAACATTTATCATAAAATAATTAGATTCAATTTTGACATTTGACAGATTCTAACTTAACTTACTCATCTTTTAACTTATTTAGGTCGTGTTTGGTAGCAAATTAAAGCATTTTTAATTCTTATTAAGGTTATTTTAATATTTGTCAAAAAATAATTAGATTTGATTTTGACATTTGACAGATTCTAACCTAACTTACTCATCTTTTAACCTATTTAGGTCGTGTTTGGTAGCAAATTAAAGCATTTTTAATTCTTATTAAGGTTATTTTAATATTTGTCAAAAAGTAATTACATTCTATTTTGACATTTGACAGTTTCTAACCTAACTTTTTTATTTTTTAACCTAACTAGGCCGTGTTTGGTATCAGATTAACGTATTTTTAACCCTTGTTAAGATTATTTTAACATTTCTCAAAAAATAATTAAATTCGATTTTGACATTTGACAGATTCTCACCTAACTTTTAATTTTTTAATCTATATAGGTCATGTTTGGTATCAAACTACCGCATTTTTAATTCTTATTAAGATTATTTTAACATTTATCAAAAAATAATGTAATTCGATTTTGACATTTGACAGTTTCTAACCTAATTTTTCATTTTTAACCTAAATAAGTCATATTTGGTATCAAATTAGCGCATTTTTTAACTCTTATTAAGATTATTTTAACATTTATCAAAAAATAATATAATTCGGTTTTGACATTTGACAGTTTCTAACCTAACTTTTTCATTTTTTAACCGAAATAGGTCATGTTTGGTATCAAATCAAATGCTTTTTGATTCCAATTACGATTATTTCAGAATTTATCATAAAATAATTAAATTTGATTTTAACATTTGACAGATTCTAACCTAACTTATTCATTTTTTATGCAGCGCTAGACCAAGAACTAGAATCATTTGGGTTTAGCCGTCTTAAGAGACGTGCGGCTAAACCTAAATGATTCTAGTTCTAGGTATAGTGTTAGTTCTAGTTTTACACTTGCACTGTCACTAGAACTAATATTAGACCTAGACTAGAAACATTTGGATTTAGTTGGACATCTCTTAAGACGGCTAAACCCGAATCATTGTAGTACGGTGTCTTAATTAATTATCATCATTGCGAGTATGCAACCAATATCACATTATTGGTATTGCAATACGCGATTTGCGTATTTGGTTGCATACTTGCAATGATGACGTCGAGTACGATAATTAATTAATATACTGTATAATGATGGTGTTAGAGTTAATTTAAAAAGCTGTAGAAATACCTCTGTTACCTCTGACATTTATTTACCTTGTATCCAATGAAACATTTACTGCTGAATCATTTAAAACTAATTTTTCAATAGCATTTCTTAAATGAACATGTTGTGATTGATCAAATGGATAAATTCCAGCAAAAACCATTGGTTTAGGGGGTTCAAATCCGCTTAAAACCACGACTTTTTCACCTTTCTTGCAAAATGTATCCCCAATAAAAGCTTCTTTACTTGATCTCATACTACATGAAACTAACCCAACTTGTCCTGCAACCCTAAATAATTATTTTTATTTATTTATTAACTTTATTGTTTAAACTAACAATCTATTAACTTCAACTTCTTGTGGTCGCAAAACTGAAATTCCGCGAATTTCATAATCTTTTTCTGTATGACATGAAGAAATATAATCCCCGATTGAAATAGAACCATCTTTAATGTAAATTAGACATAAAACACCTCTGTATTTATCATACCAACTATCGAAAAGTAACGCTCGGAATTTTCCATTTCGATCCGCTTCCGGCGGCGGGAGTCTTTCAATTATAGCTTCAAAAACTTCAGTGATTCCTGTACCAAGCTTAGCTGAAACTTTAATTACTTGACGCTTTTCAATATCGAATAAATGGTTTAATTGATTAGTGACTCTTTCAGGATCAGCATTTTTTAAATCAATTTTATTTAAAACTGGGATTATAACCAAATCCTTTGAAAATGCCAAATAAAAATTAGCTACAGTTTGCGCTTGGACACCATCATTCGCATCTACAAGTAAAATAACACCTTGACAAGCAGCTAAAGATCGAGCAACTTCATTTGAAAAATCGACATGTCCTGGTGTATCAATAAAGTTTAAAAGATACTTTTCTCCTTTATAATCGTACAAAATAGAAGCACTTTGTGCTTTAACTGTTATCCCACGTTCTTTTTCCACTTGCAATTTATCCAAAACTTGACTTTCTCCAGATTTATGTGAAATAGCCCCCGTAAATTCTAAGAGTCTATCAGATAATGTGCTCTTCCCATGATCAACATGCGCAATTATACTAAAATTTCGAATCCGTTCTAATGGAATTTCGCTTAAATCAATGCTTGTTGCGGTTTTTGTGCTATATTTGTGTTTAAAATTTGAACATAACCTAAAACAAAAAATTTATTAATGATTTTCTTTTTAAATTAAAACTTACTTCTTGTATCTATTGAATGTTAAAGTACTTCTAAATAAACGTTTTAATAACATTTCTGTAATTAATTATTTGGATTTATTTAAATGTTATTAAGTTAGTGTCAAATCGGACTACATAACCTATATTTTTTTTTATCTCCGAAAATTAATGATTTAATTAAAGTCTTTTATTAATTCTATTTATTTTTTAATATTAATAGTAATAATAAGAATAAATACGATTAATAATAAAGCGTTTTATTTTAAAAGAGTTTTAGTTATGGTAATTTTTTTAAATTGTCAGGTTTGACACATGACGTTTTACATAACCTCAAAAATTGATTTAAAAGATTTCATCTCATTTAATAAAGTGTTTTTTATGTTATGGTTGGATTAAAATAGCTTTTTAAAAAGTAATTGATTAATATTAGTGTAAGTAACAATTAAATTAAAGTTTTAAAGGTTAAAGTCAAAATAAAATTCGTTTAAAAATTAAATATGTTATTGTTGTTGTTTATGAATTTTCTCAAATGTGATTGTTTTAGAAGTTAAACGTCTTCAAGAATAATGTATCGCAATTTAATTCGAACTGCAAGATGTGCATCAAATCAAATTCTACCAAGGTTATGTCCTTAAGTTGTTTAATTTGCGATCAACACCAAGGCCCCTTAGCTAGAAATAAAAGGAACTACTCCATAGCCAAAACGTAAAACTGCAATTATTCTTAAGATCATTCTTATCTTTCAAGATCAAAGTGTTCAAATAACAACGTTAGAAGAAGCACAAAAATTATTGAAAAGGATAAATTGGTTAAAATCATACAAAATAGAAGCACTTTGTGCTCTAACTGTTCTAACTGAATGTGGGATTTCTTTTTCAGCTCTCAATTTATCCAAAACTTGACTTTCTCCCGATTTATGTGAAATAGCCAACATAAATTCTAAAAGTTTATCAGATAATGTGGTTTTCTCATGATCAATATGCGCAATTATACTAAAATTCCGAATCCGTTCTAATGGAATTTCGCTTAAATCAATGCTTGTTGCGGTTTTTGTGCTATATTTGTGTTTAAAATTTGAACATAACCTAAAACAAAAAATTTATTAATGATTTTCTTTTTAAATTAAAACTTACTTCTTGTATCTATTGAATGTTAAAGTACTTCTAAATAAACGTTTTAATAACATTTCTGTAATTAATTATTTGGATTTATTTAAATGTTATTAAGTTAGTGTCAAATCGGACGACATAACCTATATTTTTTTTATCTCTGAAAATTAATGATTTAATTAAAGTATTTTATTAATTCTATTTATTTTTTAATAATAATAGTAATAATAAGAATAAATACGATTAATAATAAAGCGTTTTATTTTAAAAGAGTTTTATTTATGGTAATTTTTTAAATTGTCAGGTTTGACACATGACGTTTTACATAACCTCAAAAATTGTTTTAAAAGATTTCATCTTATTTAATAAAGTGTTTTTTATATTATGGTTGGATTAAAACATCTTTTTAAAAAGTGATTGAGTAATATTAGTGTAAATAACAATTAAATTAAAGTTTTAGAGGTCAAAGTCAAAATAAAATTCGTTTAAAAATAAAACATGTTATTGTTGTTGTTTATGAATTTTCTTAAATGTGATTATTTTAGAAATTAAACATCTTCAAGAATAATGTATCGCAATTTAATTTGAACTGCAAGATGTGCTCAAATCAAGTTCTACCAAAGTTGTGTCCTTAAATTGTTTGATTTGCGATCAACACCAAGGCCCCTTAGCTAGAAATAAAAGGAACTACTCCATAGCCAAAACGTAAAACTGCAATTATTCTCAAGATCACTCTTACCTCTTAAGATCAAAGTGTACAAATAACATCGCTAGAAGAAGCACAAAAATTATTGAAAAGGATAAATTGGTTAAAATCATACAAAATATAAGCACTTTGTCCTCTAACTGTTCTAACTGAATGTGGGATTTCTTTTTCAACTCTCAATTTATCCAAAATTTGACTATCTCCTGATTTATGTGAAATAGCCCCTGTAAAATTTAAGATTTTATCAGATAATGTGCTTTTCCTATGATCAACATGCGCAATTATACTAAAATTTCGAATCCGTTCTAATGGAATTTCGGCTAAATCAGTGCTTGTTGCGGTTTTTGTGCTATATTTGTTTTTAAAATTTGAACATAACCTAAAAAAAAATTTATTAATGATTTTCTTTTTAAATCAAAACTTGTTTCTTGTATCTATTGACTGTTAAAGTACTTCTAAATAAACGTTTTAATAACATTTCTGTAATTAATTAATTGGATTTATTTAAATGTTATTAAGTTTAATGACACATCACTACATAACCTATATTTTTTTTAAGTCCGAAAATTAATGATTTAATTAAAATATTTTATTAATTCCATTTATTTTTTAATAATAATAAGAATAAATACGATTAATAATAAAACGTTTTATTTTATAATAAAAAATTTTATGGTAATTTTTTTAAATTGTCAGGTTTGACACATGACGTTTTACATAACCTCAAAAATTGTTTTAAAAGATTTCATCTTATTTAATAAAGTGTTTTTTATGTTATGGTTGGATTAAAATAGCTTTTTAAAAAGTAATTGATTAATATTAGTGTAAGTAACAATTAAATTAAAGTTTTAGAATTCAAAGTCAAAATAAAATTCGTTTAAAAATAAAACATGTTATTGTTGTTGTTTATGAATTTTCTCAAATGTGATTATTCTAGAAATTAAACGTCTCCACGCAATTTAATTCGAACTGCAAGATGTGCATCAAATCAATTTCTACCAAGGTTGTGTCCTTAAATTGTTTGATTTGCGATCAATACCAAGGCCCCTGAGCTAGAAATAAAAGGAACTACTCCATAGCTAAAACGTAAAACTGCAATTACTCCCAAGATCATTCTTATCTCTCAAGATCAAAGTGTTCAAATAATAATGTTAGAAGAAGTACAAAAATTATTGAAAAGGATAAATTGGTTAAAATCATACAAAATAGAAGCACTTTGTGCTCTAACTGTTCTAACTGAACGTGGGATTTCTTTTTCCACTCTCAATTTATCCAAAATTTGACTATCTCTCGATTTATGTGAAATAGCCCCTGTAAAATTTAAGAGTTTATCAGATAATGTGCTCTTCCCATGATCAACATGCACAATTATACTAAAATTTGGAATCCGTTCTAATGGAATTTCGCTTAAATCAATGCTTGTTGCGGTTTTTGTGCTATATTTGTGTTTAAAATTTGAACATAACCTAAAACAAAAGAAAAATATTTATTATTTTCTTTTTAAATCAAAACTTACTTCTTGTATCTATTGAATGTTAAAGTACTTCTAAATAAACGTTTTAATAACATTTCTGTAATTATTTAGATTTATTTTAATGTTATTAAGTTTAATGACACTCACTACATAACCTATATTTTTTTAAGTCCGAAAATTAATGATTTAATTAAAGTATTTTATTAATTTCATTTATTTTTTAATAATAATAAGAATAAATACGATTAATAATAAAACGTTTTATTTTATAATAAAAAATTTTAGTTATTTTTTTAGCTTGTCAGTTTTGACACATGACGTTTTACATAACCTCAAAAATTGATTTAAAAGATTTCATCTTATTTAATAAAGTGTTTTTGTATATTATGGTTGGATTAAAACATCTTTTTAAAAAGTAATTGATTAATAATAGTGTAAATAACAATTAAATGAAAGTTTTAAAGGTCAAAATAAAATTCGTTTAAAAATAAAACATGTTTTTGTTGTTGTTTATGAATTTTCTCAAATGTGATTATTTCAGAAATTAAACGTCTCCAAAAATGTATCGCAATTTAATTCGACCTGCAAGATGTGCATCAAATCAAATTCTACCAAGGTTGTGTCCTCAACTTGTTCAATTTGCAATCACCACCAAGGCCCCTGAGCTAGAAATAGAAGGTACAACTCCACAGCCAAAACGTAAAACTGCAATTATTCCCAAGATCACTCTTATCTCTCAAGATCAAAGTGTTCAAATAACAACGTTAGAAGAAGCACAAAAATTATCGAAAAGGAGAGATTTGAAGTTGGTTAAAATTATTGATTATGATACAAAATCGCAAAGACCCATTTATAAATTAATGACACCAACTGAGTATTTGAATGAAGACTTAAAACAGAGGGAGAAAAAGAAGATCGATAAAGCTAATTTGAGTATCAAAGGTGATAAGGTTTTAATTTTAAGCTCATCAATTGCTCTTCATGATTTAAAGATTCAAATTGAAAAGATTATTAAGTGGGTTAAGAAAAGTTATGAAGTTAGAGTTATTATTAATGGATTTAGTTCAAATGCAGAAAAAGTTGTAAGATTATTAATAATTATTAACGAAATTTTGGTTTTATTTAGTTTTATTTTAGGAGAATATTTTTAAGACTTTATCAGAACAAGTAGAAGGTCAATGTAGAATTGTACAAAAGCGTTCTAAAGGTAATGATATGAAATTTCAAGTTTTACCCCCAAAAAAAGAGAAAGATAATGAAAATTCATCATGACTATTAAGATTTGGAGTGAGTACAGGAGTTTTGTTAGTTTTGGGTGTTAAATATTGTATATTTTATCAGTTTTACTTCAAAGATGATAATAAAAAAAAGAAACAATAAATTTAATTTCATTAAGATATATTTATATCATTAAAAAAAAATATATACAATATATCGTTGTATAAATTAAAATCTAATTACCACGCACTAATATACGAATATATTTGTTTTTTTTTACTATAATTTTTTAAGATCCATCACCAAGGTCTAAGAAATTTATGTCTGGCCCTGAAACACAAAAGAAAAAACGATTATTATTCACGATCGACAAAAATTTTTCGAAAACCCGTTTTCAAAAACAAAATAACCAAAAATAAATTTCACAAGACCTCTCCAAAAATAAAATTTAAATAATACGCGATACTAAAACCACGATAATTAAATTACACATACGATACGATTTTAAATTTGGTGAAATTTTGAATTTTTTTAACTTTCAATGGACGCGGCAGCTCCTTGCGCCTGAATGTCGTTCGTAATAAGCATGTTGTTAATATGCATTTCTTGTGATGGTCTGCACCACATCAGGCTACCCCTTTCCAAGATTTTGTACCGACTGACACCCCCAAATAATATCGGTTGAAATTCCTTGCCCAATCCCAAACCTCGTTTGTCATATTTACACAATCGACCGACAATCTCGATAAAATCCTTTCGTTCCTTCTCTTTTGAATCAGACGAATTTCGTTGTTGCGGTTCCAAATTTGCATTACTCACCGTATTCCGATTTTCCTCTTCTAAAATGTCGCAACAAATCTTGTATGGATCTTCTTTAAACGATGAATTTGACACATTTGAAGACAAATTTGAGTCTGATTTTGGATAAACCAAGAATGTTAAGTTGTTATCTGATACTTGGTTGTTATTCGATCGGGGATGCTTTGTTGTATGATTTATTGGACGATTTATTGAATGATTTATTATTGGATGGGTTATAGGGTGGTTTATTTTATTTATTTGATGGTAGGAAGTTAGATTAGATTGATAATTTCTTATTGACGTAGAATTAATTGTTGATGATTCCGGGTTATTATTTATTGTATTCCTGTTTAAAAGTTGGTAATAATAACGATAAATTGGGGAATATGGGGAAACTTTTCCAAGATAATTTGCGTAAGATTGAAAATTACTTTGCGGCATTTTAACGTAATAATACATTTGTCTCAAGTTTTTTGAATGTAATTGTAAATTTTGTTCGGTTAAAAACCTCGAGCAATCACCATTAGCTCTGTTAACTAACGCCGTTCTACGACTATCATCTTCGTGTAAAGGTGATAAAGAACGGTATCGAGGTATTTTCGAATATCTTTCACAATTCTCTTCATAACCATCCAAATAATCTCGACTTTGATCCCCATCATCGTGGCGATATTGTCCTCTCGAAGACGCCGTAACGATACTGTCAGTTTCATCGTCATCATTATCATCAAAATCATCATAAACAGATCCTTCGCCATCTAATAAACTATCTACTTTCGTGCCTGTCATATCGAGATCGTACCGTGTCTGCATATCCGCTATTTGATTTATGTGCGCCTTCGTCGTCTGCAGCTCCTTCTCCATGGAACCAACTGACTCCTGTAGCTTAAACCTCTTTGCGTTTGTATCAGATAGGGTCGACTCCAAATCTTTCACCTTCTTCTCCAATTTTACACATAAACGCCCTTTACTATCTAAATTTCCAGATAAATCATTTATTATGTCACATTTTTGTTTTAATTCTTCTTTTGTCTACAATTAAAAATAATAACATTTATTATTACACTTATTGAGTTGTATTGTTTATGTTATTAATAAGTTAATTAATTAATTCAAATTTGTTTAGGTATATTTAGGTAAAAACAGTTCATCACATCGATGATGTGAAGAAATATGGTGGGTATTCGTCTCTGAAGATGCACGGCTAAGCGAAAGTTGTAGCAAATTATATTTTTAACAATATTGTTCTCTTGTATTTTTGCTCTTAGATGGATAAATATCGAGAAAAATACGAAAATGTCAAAATTTGTGAATTTCGTTGTTTTAAGTAGTTAATGGTACTACTCGGGAATCGAAGCATGTTATAAAAAATTTTTTAGAACAAAAGTTGTAGCAAATTTTATTCTTAACAATATTGCTTTCATTGACATTTGTTGTCAGACGCATAGATATCGAGAAAAATACGAAAATGTAAAAATTTGTGAATTTCGTTGATTTAAGTAGTTAATGGTACTACTCTGGAATCGGAGCATGTTAGAAAAAAGTTTTTAGAATAAAAGTTGTAGCAAATTATATTCTTAACAATATTGTTCTCTTGCACTTTTGCTCTTAGATGGATAGATATCGAGAAAAACACGAAAATCTGAAAATTTGTGAATTTCGTTGTTTTAAGAAGTTAATGGTACTACTCGGGAATCGGAGCATGTTATAAAAAACGTTTTAGAACAAAAGTTGTAGCAAATTATATTCTTAACAACATTGCTCTCTTTTACTTTTACACTCAGACGCACAGATATCAAGAAAAATGCGAAAATATGAAAATTTATGAATTTCGTTGATTTAAGTAGTTAATGGTACTACTCTGGAATCGGAGCATGTTAGAAAAAAGCTGTTAGAATAAAAGTTGTAGCAAATTAAATTCTTAACAATATTGTTCTCTTGCACTTTTGCTCTTAGATGGATAGATATCGAGAAAAATACAAAAATCTGCAAATTTGACGAATTTTGTTGTTTTAAGAAGTTAATGGTACTACTCGGGAATTGGAGCATGTTATAAAAATTTTTTTAGAACAAAAGTTGTAGCAAATTTTATTCTTAACAACATTGCTCTCTTTTACTTTTGCTCTCAGACGCACAGATATCGAGAAAAATACGAAAATATGAAAATTTCTGAATTTCGTTGATTTAAGTATAGTTAAATGGTACTACTTTGGAATCGGAACATATTACAAAAAAACTTTTAGAACAAAAGTTGTAGCAAATTTAAGTCTTAACAATATTGTTCTCTTGCACTTTTGCTCTTAGATGGATAAATATCGAGAAAAATACGAAAATCTTAAAATTTGACGAATTTCGTTGTTTTAAGAAGTTAATGGTACTACTCGGGAATTGGAGCATATTATAACAATTTTTTTAGAACAAAAGTTGTAGCAAATTTTATTCTTAACAATATTACTCTCATTGACATTTATTGTCAGACGCATAGATATCGAGAAAAATATGAAAATGTCAAAATTTGTGAATTTCGTTGTTTTAAGTAGTTAATGGTACTACTCGAAAATCGGAGCATTTTACAAAAAAATTGTTAGAACAAAAGTTGTAGCAAATTTTATTCTTAACAATATTGCTCTCATTGACTTTTGTAGTCAGACGCATAGATATCGAGAAAAATGCGAAAATGTCAAAATTTGTGAATTTCGCTGTTTTAAGTAGTTAATGGTACTACTCGGGAGTCGGAGCATATTAGAAAAAAGCTTTTAGAATAAAAGTTGTAGCAAATTATATTCTTAACAATATTGCTCACTTTTACTTTTGCTCTCAGACGCACAGATATCGAGAAAAATATGAAAATTTCTGAATTTCGTTGATTTAAGTATAGTTAATGGTACTACTTTGGAATCGGAGCATATTACAAAAAAACTTTTAGAACAAAAGTTGTAGCAAATTTAAGTCTTAACAATATTGTTCTCTTGCACTTTTGCTCTTAGATCGATAGATATCGAGAAAAATACGAAAATCTTAAAATTTGACGAATTTCGTTGTTTCAAGAAGTTAATGGTACTACTCGGGAATTGGAGCATGTTATAAAAATTTTTTTAGAACAAACGTTGTAGCAAATTTTATTCTTAACAATATTGCTCTCATTGACATTTGTTGTCAGACGCATAGATATCGAGAAAAATACGAAAATGTCAAAATTTGTGAATTTCGCTGTTTTAAGTAGTTAATGGTACTACTCGAAAATCGGAGCATTTTACAAAAAAATTGTTAGAACAAAAGTTGTAGCAAATTTTATTCTTAACAATATTGCTTTCATTGACATTTGTAGTCAGACGCATAGATATCGAGAAAAATACGAAAATGTCAAAATTTGTGAATTTCGCTGTTTTAAGTAGTTAATGGTACTACTTTGGAATCGGAGCATGTTAGAAAAAAGCTTTTAGAACAAAAGTGGTAGCAAATTTTATTCTTAACAATATTGCTCTGATTCACTTTTGTTGTTAGATGCGTCAATATTGAGAAAAATACGAAAATTTGATGAATTTCGTTGGTTTAAGTACTTAATGGTAACATCCTGGATTGGGAGCATATTACAAAAAAACTTTTAGAACAAAAGTTGTAGCAAATTATATTCTTAACAATATTGCTCTCTTGCACTTTTGCTCTCAGATTACGAAAATTTGATGAATTTCGTTGTTTTAAGTACTTAATGGTAACATCCGGATTGGGAGCATATTACAAAAAAACTTTTAGAACAAAAGTTGTAGCAAATTATATTCTTAACAATATTGCTCTCTTGCACTTTTGCTCTCAGATGCTCTAATATCGAGTAAAATACGAAAATATGAAAACCCGTATGTTTCTAGTTTTAGGTGGTTTTAGGTAGTAGATTTTTGATAAATTATAAACCAATAAACTCACGTCAAAAAGAAGTTGCCTAACTTCTTCAGAATATTTATGTAAACTTTCATTCTCCAACATCAACTCATCTTTCTTCGCTTTTAACATTCCAATTAATCCATCGCGAACTTTAAGAAGATTCTCCATATCATTGAGTTGTTTTTTATGTTGATTAATATCGTGTTCGTATTTAATAAGTTTCTGTTCGTTATCCAACGATTTAGCCAAAGCTCTTTGAAGCTTAGCTTTACCCTCTTCGAGCATTGCCTTTAATTCTTGCGTATCTCTGGGAACGGTGTCTAAATGATTTATTACCACGCCCGCTTGGAAATTTTCCACTTTAGCTAAGAGTTGGGAAATTTGCATTTTTCTAAAATTAATATAATTGATTTTTTTGATTAATAATATTAATTTAATTTAGTTACTGTTGCTCGATAACTTTAAGTGCTTCAATTTTTTCGCGTTCTAAACATTGTAACTCTTCTTCTTTTTGTACTAAAGCTTGCCCAAAAGCTTCTTGATTGCAATTTCCGTCAACGTTGAGTCTTTCGATGTTATCAATAAACCTCATCTTTTCTGTTGTGTAACTTTGAATTCGTTCTTGAGCTGCTTTTAACGCCATCTTCATCGCTGCGAGTTCACTTCGTAATTTAGCTTCTCTTTCAGTGGTACAAGAATCTAAAAAAAATGTTTTAATTTGTTTTTATTTATAACAAAAAATTAAATAACCATCAATAATTCTTTTCTCTTGATTTTCAGCCTTGGAATTCTTCATGAGATCGATAGCTTGTTGTTGTTCTACGGAAAGTTGTTCCAAATCTCTTTTCATATTTTCTAATTTCTCCTCTAGTATTTGTTTCTCAATTGTGGCTGATTGAAGTTTCTCTTTTAAAGCGGCCATTTCTTTCTTGTGCTTTATCTGTTCCTCATCGTTCGTTCTTTTTTGCTCGTCGAGGATGGTGTTCATGAGATGTACCCTGGACAAAAACGCGTTTATCATGTCAATTCCGTGTCAAACACCCTTTAAGCGAACGATCTCACCTGTTTTTGTGGCAAGTTTCGCGCTTTTACGGTGTTTGGCTCGCAAAAAATTTTTGTTAATTAATTATTGTGATTTTATTATTAATGTGTTTAAATAAAAATAATATATAATAAACAGACTTGCTTGTTTTACGATAAAAAAATCACTAACAATACACAGATATATCAATATAAAGACGGGGTAATAAAAAAAAATTGTAAAAACTGAAAAAAATTTACGTCTTAATTCTGACATTGTATAGCAAAACTAGGAAGGAGAAGATCGTGTATCAATTTTAAAGAAATTGAAAGTAGCCACCTTGTATCAAGCGCATGGCGTTCCGATGATAACTTTTCTAATATTGCGTGTTCACCCCTGTGATTCTTCAAAATTTCCTCCTTTTCTTCTCTCCACTTCTGTTCGGTATTTTTCATTTTCGTTTGTAAGTTTCTAAAAATTTATTTGTAATTAACTTATTCCAAATTTTAAATTATAGTAAAACGTCGATATAACGGACTTATATTCTCTGATTTTAGATAAACTCGGGGTATTCCCCATATTATAAAAAAACTTTTAGAACAAAAGTTGTAGCAAATTCAATTCTTAACAATATTGCTCTATTGCACTTTTCCTCTTAGATGGATAGATATCGAGGAAAATGCGAAAATAAGAAAATTTGATGAATGTTTTTGTTTTAAATAGATAATGGTAATACTCGGGAATCAGAGCATGTAATAAAAAAACTTTTAGAACAAAAGTTGTAGTAAATTGTATTCTTAACAATATTGTTCTCTTGCACTTTTGCTCTCTGATGTATAGTTATCGAGAAAAACAGTAAAATTTGAAAATTTGATGAATTTCGTTGTTTTACTAGTTAATGGTGACATTTGGGATTCGGAGTATATTACAATAAAACTTTTAGAACAAAAGTTGTAGTAAATTGTATTCTTAAGAATATTACTCCTTTGCACTTTTGTTCTCAGGCGTATAGTTATCGAGAAAAATACGAAAATATGAAAATATGATGAATTTCGTTCTTTTAACTAGTTAATGGTAACACTCGGGATTCGGAGTATATTACAACAGAATGTTTAGTACAAAAGTTGTAGCATATTTAATTCTTAACAATGTTGCTCCTTTATACTTTTACTCTCTGATGCATAGTTATGGAGAAAAACAGTAAAATCTGAAAATTTGATAAATTTCGTTGTTTTACTAGTTAATGGTGACATTCGGGATTCAGAGCATATTACAAAACAACTTTTGGAGCAAAAGTTGTAGGAAATTTAGTTCTTAACAATATTGCTCTATTGCTCTATTGCACTTTTGTTCTCAGACGCATAGTTATCGAGAAAAATACGAAAATATGAAAATTTGATGAATTTCGTTGTTTAACTAGTGGTTACTGGCAACACTTGGGATTTGGAGTATATTACAAAATAATTTTTACAACAAAAATTGTAGCAAATTTAATTCTTAACAATGTTGCTCCTTTACACTTTTGCTCTCTGATGCATAGTTATGGAGAAAACCAGTAAAATCTGAAAATTTGATGAATTTCGTTGTTTTACTAGTTAATGGTGACATTCGGGATTCAGAGCATATTACAAAAAAACTTTTAGAACAAAAGTTGTAGGAAATTTAGTTCTTAACAATATTGCTCTATTGCACTTTTGTTCTCAGGTGCATAGTTATCGAGAAAAATACGAAAATATGAAAATTTGATGAATTTCGTTGTTTTAAGTAGTTAATGGTAACATTTGGGATTCGGAGCATATTACAAAACAGCTTTTAGAACAAATATTGTAGCATATTCAATTCTTAACAATATTGCTCCTTTGCACTTTTGCTCTCTGATGCATAGTTATCGAGAAAAACAGTAAAATTTGAAAATTTGATGAATTTCATTGTTTTACTAGTTAATGGTGACATTTGGGATTCGGAGTATATTACAATAAAACTTTTAGAACAAAAGTTGTAGTAAATTGTATTCTTAACAATATTGCTCCGTTGCACTTTTGCTCTCTGATGCATAGTTATCGAGAAAAACAGTAAAATCTGAAAATTTGATGAATTTCGTTGCTTTACTAGTTAATGGTGACATTCCGAATTCAGAGCATATTACAGAAAAACTTTTAGAACAAAAGTTGTAACAAATTTAATTCTTTACAATATTGCATTATTGCACTTTTGTTCTCAGATGCATACTTATCGAGAAAGATAAGAAAATCTGCAAATTTGATGAATTTCGTCGTTTTAAGCAGTTAATGGTAACACTCGGGAATCGGAGCATGTTACAAAAAACTTTTACAACAAAAGTTGTAGCAAATTTAATTCTTAACAATATTGCATTATTGCACTTTTATTCTCAGATGCATACTTATCGAGAAAAATACGAAAATCTACAANCTCAGGTGCATAGTTATCGAGAAAAATACGAAAATATGAAAATTTGATGAATTTCGTTGTTTTAAGTAGTTAATGGTAACATTTGGGATTCGGAGCATATTACAAAAAAGCTTTTAGAACAAATGTTGTAGCAAATTAAATTCTTAACAATATTGCTCTGTTGCACTTTTGTTGTCAGGTGCATAGTTATCGAGAAAGATAAGAAAATCTGCAAATTCGATAAATTTCGCTGTTTTACTAATTAATGGTGACATTCCGAATTCAGAACATATTACAGAAAAACTTTTAGAACTAAAGTTGTAGCAAATTTAATTCCTAACAATATTGCATTATTGCACTTTTATTCTCAGATGCATACTTATCGAGAAAAATACGAAAATCTACAAATTTGATGAATTTCGTCGTTTTAAGCAGTTAATGGTAACACTCGGGAATCGGAGCATGTTACAAAAAAACTTTTAGAACTAAAGTTGTAGCAAATTTAATTCTTAACAATATTGCATCATTGCACTTTTATTCTCAGATGCATACTTATCGAGAAAAATACGAAAATCTACCAATTTGATGAATTTCGCTGTTTTACTAGTTAATGGTGACATTCCGAATTCAGAGCATATTACGAAAAAACTTTTAGAACAAAAGTTGTAACAAATTTAATTCTTAACAATATTGCATTATTGCACTTTTATTCTCAGATTCATACTTATCGAGAAAAATACGAAAATCTACAAATTTGATGAATTTCGTCGTTTTAAGCAGTTGATGGTAACACTCAGGATTCAGATCATATTACAAAAAAACTTTTAGAATAAAAGTTATAGCAAATTTAATTCTTAACAATATTGCATTATTGCACTTTTATTCTCAGATGTATACTTATCGAGAAAAATACGAAAATCTACAAATTTGATGAATTTCGTCGTTTTAAGCAGTTAATGGTAACACTCGGGATTCGGAGTATATCACAATAAAACTTTTAGAACAAAAGTTGTAGTAAATTGTATTCTTAACAATATTGCTTCTCTGCATTTATGCTCTCTGATGCATAGTTATCGAGAAAAACTGTAAAATCTGAAAATTTGATGAATTTCGTTGTTTTACTAGTTAATGGTGACATTCCGAATTCAGAGCATATTACAGAAAAACTTTTAGAACAAAAGTTGTAACAAATTTAATTCTTTACAATATTGCATTATTGCACTTTTGTTCTCAGATGCATACTTATCGAGAAAGATAAGAAAATCTGCAAATTTGATGAATTTCGTCGTTTTAAGCAGTTAATGGTAACACTCGGGAATCGGAGCATGTTACAAAAAAACTTTTAGAACTAAAGTTGTAGCAAATTTAATTCTTAACAATATTGCATTATTGCACTTTTATTCTCAGATGCATACTTATCGAGAAAAATACGAAAATCTACAAATTTGATGAATTTCGTCGTTTTAAGCAGTTAATGGTAACACTCGGGAATCGGAGCATGTTACAAAAAAACTTTTACAACAAAAGTTGTAGCAAATTTAATTCTTAACAATATTGCATTATTGCACTTTTATTCTCAGATGCATACTTATCGAGAAAAACATGAAAATCTACAAATTTGATGAATTTCGTCGTTTTAAGCAGTTAATGGTAACACTCGGGAATCGGAGCATGTTACAAAAAAATTTTTAGAACTAAAGTTGTAGCAAATTTAATTCTTAACAATATTGCATTATTGCACTTTTATTCTCAGATGCATGCTTATCGAGAAAAATACGAAAATCTACAAATTTGATTAATTTCGTCGTTTTAAGCGGTTAATGGTAACACTCAGGATTCAGAGCATATTACGAAAAAACTTTTAGAACAAAAGTTGTGGCAAATTTAATTCTTAAGAATATTGCATTATTGCACTTTTATTCTCAGATGCATACTTATCGAGAAAAATACGAAAATCTACAAATTTGATGAATTTCGTCGTTTTAAGCAGTTAATGNTGGTGACATTCCGAATTCAGAGCATATTACAGAAAAACTTTTAGAACAAAAGTTGTAGCAAATTTAATTCTTAACAATATTGCTCTATTGCACTTTTGTTGTCAGGTGCATAGTTATCGAGAAAAATAAGAAAATCTGCAAATTCGATAAATTTCGTTGTTTTACTCGTTGTTAATGGTAACACTCGGGATTCGGAGCATATTACAATAAATCTTTTAGAACAAAGGTTGTAGTAAATTGTATTCTTAACAATATTGCTCCTTTACACTTTTGCTCTCTGATGTATAGTTATCGAGAAAAACAGTAAAATCTGAAAATTTCATGAATTTCGTTGTTTTACTAGTTAATGGTGACATTTCGGATTCGGAGTATATTACAAAAAAATTTTTAGAACAAAAGTTGTAGCAAATTTAATTCTTAACAATATTGCATTATTGCACTTTTATTCTCAGATGCATACTTATCGAGAAAAATACGAAAATCTACAAATTTGATGAATTTCGTCGTTTTAAGCGTCGTTTAGCCTGAATTAATGTGCCGTTATATCGAGGTTTAACAGTAATTCTTTTTACCTTATCGCCAAACTCATATCGTTTATTTTATTTTCAGCTTCCTTTTTGCCTTTATCCAAATCTTGAATCTGCTTGTTAAGGTTATCAACTTTTTGATCATAATTCTTACTGGCTTGAGTATGATCGTTAATCTTTTTCTTTTTATTTTGAAGTTCAGCTTCTAAACATTTTATTTTTTCCTTCAACGAATCGTTTTCCTCCGCGAGCTCTTGCAACGATCCAATTCGAACGTCATCGAGTTGCTGTTGAGTCCTCTCCAACTCCTCGCTAACTTCAACTAAAGATTCGTTGGTTTCTTTTAACTTGGCATCTAAATGTTTAATTATTTGATTCGCCGCCACCAAATTGTTATTTTCCGTTAAATTTTGAGCGTCGGTTAAAATTCTTTTCACCCGAATTTCTTGCCTCTCAATGGCGTCGTTAATCAACCCGTTGAGTTGTTTGGTTTCGTGCTCGAATGATTCCAAGTTAAGTTCTTCTTTATCAATTTCGCCATTTTTTACTTTTGTTAATTGGTCGATTAATTTCTCTCGGGTTGACATTAAATATTTGCCGAGTTCTGAAAATGTTATTGGGACGGGATCGAGTTCTTCTTCTAAAATGCGAAGATATTCAGAGTTTCTTTCCGCTGCAATGGCGATTTGTTCATCGGTTAATTCCATCGTTCCAAAAGAATTTTCTTCTGGAGGTGGAGGAGGAGGAGGTGTGGGGGGACGTGGAGGAGATAAAACTCCTCCAAAATCGATTAATTTCACCGTTTCAAGAGGAACAACCACCCCGTTTGATTCAATTTTTTTTTTCAACTCTATTAAGCCGTTGTATAATTCAAGAATGGGTTTTTGTTTTGATTCTAAATCTTTTTTTAGTAATTCTAAACGTTTTTTCTTCGCCAAGAATTGATATTCGTTTGTATTTCTTGTTGGGGATGGTCGCCCAGAATTTACTGAAAGCGATCTGGGTTTTCGATTGATTTTTGCTGATTTCGAGGTAATCGTTGGCATTGGAATTCCAGATGAGCTACTTTTTGATACTATGCTATCTTGTCGTGTGCTGAACGTGGATTTTAAAGTATCGCATCCTTCGAGATCCATCATTATTTGATGATCGCTCGCCATGGAGTTTTCCGTTAAAGGAGTTAAGCTATTCGCTTTCATTTCATAATCGCTGGTGGTTCCTAAATTATTATCAACACTTTTGCTTTGTTCGAATTTTCCCCGACCTTCCGGACTTCTTGATGTCCCGTACGACTGCTTAATAAAAAAAATTAATCGTTATTATTGAATTATTTCTTATTTACCCCATAGCTTCTGTTGATTTTTGGTATATGTGATCGAGGAGTATCTGATTTTGATGGTCCACCAGGTGCTGAAGAAATTAATATCGCATAAATGTCACGATCGTGATGGACGTTGTCAAAAATTCTTACCGGGGGTTTCGTTGAAACGATTAATTTTCGCACGTGCATACGACATCCTACCACAGCTAAACGCTGCACACAAAAATACACATACAGATTTCTTGGGGACAAACAAATTTACATGATTTTTTACGGGAAAGGAGTAATTTGTAGAACTGCACTTAAACAAAAAAAAAGTGTACGATGTAAATAAAACCGTTGCTTGATTCCCGTTGATGTTAAATTTCCCCGTCAATAACGTTAAATGACGTTTTTAAACGAAATCGATTTTGGCACTCGATGTATAGGTAATAAATTTTATCATTCGAGATTGAGCTCCAGTTATTAGTTGGGACAACAATAGGATTATCGATTTATTTATTTGTTCCCGTAACATTTTTTATGCCCCAACTTGTTTTAAGTTGGTAAATTATGGCACAAAGAACAAAACATCATTTAAATATTTAATAACAAAAGAGTTTTGAAAAAATTACCATTCAACAAGATAATAATGGCTAATTTTAGCAATACAAAATTGATAAATTAAAATAGATTGCAAAATAATTTGTGTAGAAAATCATTTTTGACACTCATAAAAAGCTTATGGAAGAGTAGATACACCTGGCAGAAGATTAAATAATACTAATAGACTAGATACTGCGTTCAGATGACTGCGACTTTATGATTTAGACAAGTTACAGCTTCCTGATCTCTAGATACTCCTAAAATTAAAGGAGGAGTAAATACTACTAATTGAAGGCTAAAAATTGTTGGCAGAAATCTAAATATTAAGGGTAGACGACTAAATAGTGCTGTCAAAAGAAATATGTCAATATCATCAACACCAAATTTAAATCTATTCTTTTCTTTCCTGTTAAGATTTTATACAGGATTAGATGTGCACGTGTTTGTTTTTGAAAATATATTTGAATACCAGCTATGTTTGCAAAAGTGTTTTCGCTTCCAACTTCGAAGTTGTAACGCAAATCTTTAGGAATGAAATTAAACAGACCTTGTGTAACTACGTATGTTAAACCGTCGCAGATATTTCGCGGATTTAAACTTCTAACTAAGATATGGTTATAACTACGTTGAATTAGGTTATGGATTATGTATTTTTGGTTCATTATAAACAATTTATTCCAAAAATACTTTTCTCCATCACTTTTTGTTTTTGAGTTATGATCGATTTTAACAACGAAAACGTTCAATCTTGATATTTTAGTCATTTCCAGTTTTTAAGTAAAATATAGTTATACCTGAACTCGATATGATTATAGATAGTGTCTTTTTAGTTTATTATAAACAATTTATTCCTAAAACATTTTCCTCCATCACTTTTAGTTTTTAAATTATGATCGATTGTAACAACAAAAATATTCAATTTTGAAATTTTGTTACTTTCCTCTTTCTAACTAAAATATAGTTACAACTGAAATCAATCTGATTATGGATAATGTCTTTTTAGATTGTTATAAACAATTTATTCCTAAAACATCTTCCTCCACCACCTTNTCGCGGATTTAAACTTCTAACTAAGATATGGTTATAACTACGTTGAATTAGGTTATGGATTATGTATTTTTGGTTCATTATAAACAATTTATTCCAAAAATACTTTTCTCCATCACTTTTTGTTTTTGAGTTATGATCGATTTTAACAACGAAAACATTCAATTTTGATATTTTGCTAATTTACAGTTTGTAACTAAAATATAGTTATAACTGAACTCGATATGATTATAGATAATGTCTTTTTAGATTGTTATAAACAATTTATTCCTAAAACAACTTCCTCCATCACCTTTAGTTTTTAAATTATGATCGATTTCGACAACAACAATATTCAATTGTGAAATTTTGTTACTTTCCTGTTTCTAACTAAAATATAGCTATAACAGAAGTTTATCTGGTTATGGATAATGATTTTTTAGACTATTATAAACAATTTATTTTCAAAACATTTTCCTCCATCACTTTTAATTTTTGAGTTATGATCAACTTTTTAACAATGAAAACATTCAATTTTGATATTTTACTAATTTCCAGTTCCTAATTAAAATATAGTTACAACTGAAATCGATCTGAATATGGATAATGTCTTTTTAGATTGTTATAAACAATTTATCCCTAAAACATCTTCCTCCACCACCTTTAGTTTTTGAGTTATTATCGATTTTAACAACGAAAACGTTCAATTTCGATATTTTGCTAATTTCTACTTTCTAACTAAAATATAGTTACAACTGAAATCAATCTGATTATGGATAATGTCTTTTTAGATTGTTATAAACAATTTATTCCTAAAACATCTTCCTCCACCATCTTTAGTTTTTGAGTTATGATCAACTTTAACAACGAAAACATTCAATTTTGATATTTTGTTAATTTCCAGTTTCTAACTAAAATATAGTTATAACTGAACTCGATATGATTATAGATTATGTGTTTTTAGTTTATTATAAACAATTTATTCCTAAAACATTTTCCTCCATCACCTTTAGTTTTTGAGTTATGATCAACTTTAACAACGTAAACATTCAATTTTGATATTTTGTTAATTTCCTGTTTCTAACTAAAATATAGTTACAACTGAAATCGATCTGATTATGGATAATGTCTTTTTAGATTGTTATAAACAATTTATTCCTAAAACATCTTCCTCCACCACCTTTAGTTTTTGAGTTATGATCAACTTTAACAACGAAAACATTCAATTTTGATATTTTGCTAATTTCTACTTTTTAACCAAAATATGATTATAACTGAAGTCGATCTGATTATAGATAATGTCTTTTTAGATTGTTATAAACAATTTATTCCTAAAACATCTTCCTCCATCACCTTTAGTTTTTGAGTTATGATCAACTTCAATAACGAAAACATCCAATTTTGATATTTTGCTAATTTCCAGTTTCTAACTAAACTATAGTTACAACTGAAATCGATCTGATTATGGATAATGTCTTTTTAGATTGTTATAAACAATTTATTCCTAAAACATCTTCCTCTATCACTTTTAGTTTTCAAATTATGATCGATTTTAACAACAAAAACATTCAATTTTGATATTTTGCTAATTTCCAGTTTCTAATTAAAATATAGTTATAGCTGAACTCGATATGATTATAGATAGTGTCTTTTTAGTTTATTATAAACAATTTATTCCTAAAACATTTTTCTCTATCACTTTTAGTTTTTAAATTATGATCGATTTTAACAACGAAAACATTCAATTTTGACATTTTGCTAATTTCCAGTTTCTAACTTAAATATAGTTATAACTGAAATCGATCTGATTGTGGATAATGTCTTTTTAGATTGTTATAAACAATTTATTCCCAAAACATCTTCCTCCACCACCTTTAGTTTTTGAGTTATGATTAACTTTAACAACGAAAACATTCAATTTTGATATTTTGCTAATTTCCAGTTTCTAACTAAAATATAGTTATAACTGAACTCGATATGATTATAGATAGTGTCTTGTTAGTTTATTATAAACAATTTATTCCTAAAACATCTTGCTCTATCACTTTTAGTTTTTAAATTATAATCGATTTTAACAACAAACACATTCAATTTTGATATTTCACTAATTTCAATTTCCTAACTAAAATATAGTTATAACAGAAGTTTATCTGATTATAGATAATGTCTTTTTAGATTATTATAAACAATTTATCCCTAAAACATCTTCCTCCACCACCTTTAGTTTTTGAGTTATGATCAGCTTTAACAACGAAAATATTCAATTTCGATATTTTGCTAATTTCCACTTTTTAATTAAAATATGATTATAATTGAAGTCGATCTGATTATAGATAATGTCTTTTTAGATTGTTATAAACAATTTATTCCTAAAACATCTTCCTCCATCACTTTTAGTTTTTAAATTATGATCGATTTTAACAACAAAAACATTCAATTTTGATATTTTGCTAATTTCCACTTTCTAACTGAAATATGATTATAACTGAACTCGATATGATTATAGATAGTGTCTTTTTAGTTTATTATAAACAATTTATTCCTAAAACATTTTCCTCCATCACTTTTTGTTTTTGAGTTATAGTCGACTTTAACTACGAAAACATTCAATTTCGATATTTTGCTAATTTCTACTTTCTAACTAAAATATGATTATGATTGAAGTCGATCTGATTATAGATAATGTCTTTTTAGATTGTTATAAACAATTTATCCCTAAAACATCTTCCTCCACCACGTTTAGTTTTTGAGTTATGATTAACTTTAACAACGAAAACATTCAATTTTGATATTTTAAATTTCCAGTTTCTAACTAAAATATAGTTATAACTGAACTCGATATGATTATAGATAGTGTCTTGTTAGTTTATTATAAACAATTTATTCCTAAAACATCTTGCTCTATCACTTTTAGTTTTTAAATTATAATCGATTTTAACAACAAACACATTCAATTTTGATATTTCACTAATTTCAATTTCCTAACTAAAATATAGTTATAACAGAAGTTTATCTGATTATAGATAATGTCTTTTTAGATTATTATAAACAATTTATCCCTAAAACATCTTCCTCCACCACCTTTAGTTTTTGAGTTATGATCAGCTTTAACAACGAAAATATTCAATTTCGATATTTTGCTAATTTCCACTTTTTAATTAAAATATGATTATAATTGAAGTCGATCTGATTATAGATAATGTCTTTTTAGATTGTTATAAACAATTTATTCCTAAAACATCTTCCTCCATCACTTTTAGTTTTTAAATTATGATCGATTTTAACAACAAAAACATTCAATTTTGATATTTTGCTAATTTCCACTTTCTAACTGAAATATGATTATAACTGAACTCGATATGATTATAGATAGTGTCTTTTTAGTTTATTATAAACAATTTATTCCTAAAACATTTTCCTCCATCACTTTTTGTTTTTGAGTTATAGTCGACTTTAACTACGAAAACATTCAATTTCGATATTTTGCTAATTTCTACTTTCTAACTAAAATATGATTATGATTGAAGTCGATCTGATTATAGATAATGTCTTTTTAGATTGTTATAAACAATTTATCCCTAAAACATCTTCCTCCACCACGTTTAGTTTTTGAGTTATGATTAACTTTAACAACGAAAACATTCAATTTTGATATTTTAAATTTCCAGTTTCTAACTAAAATATAGTTATAACTGAACTCGATATGATTATAGATAGTGTCTTGTTAGTTTATTATAAACAATTTATTCCTAAAACACCTTCCTCCATCACTTTTAGTTTTTAAATTATTATCGATTTTAACAACGAAAACATTCAATTTTGATATTTTGTTAATTTCAACTTCCTAACTAAAATATAGTTATAACAGAAGTTTATCTGATTATAGATAATGTCTTTTTAGATTGTTATAAACAATTTATCCCTAGAACATCTTCCTCCATCACTTTTAGTTTTTGAGTTATGATTGACTTTAATAACAAAACCATTCAATTTTGAAATTTTGTTAATTTCCACTTTCTAACTAAAATATAGTTATAATAGAAGATTATCTGATTTTAGATAATGTCTTTTTAGATTATTATAAACAATTTTTCCCCAAAACAATTCCCTCATTACCTTTAATTTTTGAGTTATGATTGATTTTAACAACGAAAACTTTCAATTTCGATATTTTGCTAATTTCCACTTTCTAACTAAAATCTGATTATAACTAAAGTCGATCTGATTATAGATAATGTCTTTTTAGATTATTATAAACAATTTATTTTCAAAACATCTTCCTCCATCACTTTTAGTTTTTGAGTTATGATCAACTTTAACAACGTAAACATTCAATTTTGATATTTTGCTCATTTCCAGTTTCTAACTAAAATATGGTTATAACTGAACTCGATATGATTATAGATAGTGTCTTGTTAGTTTATTATAAACAATTTATTCGTAAAACATCTTCCTCCACCACCTTTAGTTTTTGAGTTATGATCGATTTTAACAACGAAAATATTCAATTTTGATATTTTGTTAATTTCCAGTTTCTAACTAAAATATAGTTACAAATGAAATCGATCTGATTATGGATAATGTCTTTTTAGATTGTTATGAACAATTTATCCTTAAAACATTTTACTCCACCACCTTTAGTTTTTGAGTTATGATCAACTTTAACAACGAAAACATTCAATTTTGATATTTTGCTCATTTCCAGTTTCTAACTAAAATAAAGTTACAACTGAAATCGATCTGATTACGGATAATGTCTTTTTAGTTTATTATAAACAATTTATTCCTAAAACGTCTTCCTTCATCACTTTTACTTTTGAAGTTATTATCGATTTTAACAACAAAAACATTCAATTTTGATATTTTATTAATTTTCACTTTCTAACTAAAATATGATTATAACTGAAGGCGATCTGATTATAGATAATGTCATTTTAGATTGTTATAAACAATTTATCCCTAAAACATCTTCCTCCACCACCTTTAGTTTTTGAGTTATGATCAACTTTAACAACGAAAACATTCAATTTTGATATTTTGCTCATTTCCAGTGTCTAACTAAAATACAGTTATAACTGAACTTGATATGATTATAGATAGTGTCTTTTTAGTTTATTATAAACAATTTATTCCTAAAACATCTTCCTCCACCACCTTTAGTTTTTGAGTTATGATCAACTTCAACAACGAAAACATTCAATTTTGATATTTTGCTAATTTCCAGCTTCTAACTGAAATATAGTTAGAACTGAAATCGATCTGATTATAGATAATGTCTTTTTAGATTATTATAAACAATTTATCCCCTAAAACATCTTCCTCCACCACCTTTAGTTTTTTAGTTATGATCAACTTTAACAACGAAAACATTCAATTTTGATATTTTGCTAATTTCCAGCTTCTAACTAAAATATAGTTAGAACTGAAATCGATCTGATTATAGATAATGTCTTTTTAGATTATTATAAACAATTTATCCCCAAAACATTTTTCTCCATCACCGTTAGTTTTTGAGTTATGATTGACTTTGTTGTTAAAGTCGAGAAAACGTGCAACTTTGAAATTTTGTTAATTTCCACTTCGTAACTAAAATATAGTTGTAACTGAAGTCGATCTTTTTAGATTGTTATAAACAATTTATTCCTAAAACATTACCTTTAGTTTTTGAGTTATGATCGACTATAAAATTTAATTTTGACTGCGCTCTAGTTATGTTTTATGTCTCTTTAAATTATTATAAACTTACTTTTTATTACAATTCAGCAAATTTTCTTTATTATAATATCAATTTTCATTTTAACGTCTTTAGACAGGTAAATGGCCTCATAACGTGTAAGTCGACGCTTCTTCGCTGAAAATCCTTTATGTTAATAATGTCGTCGGTTAACGTTGATCTTTACTTACGAAGGTCTGCGGTTGAAAATTGAATTTATTCCGAAGCCGTTCAACGTCTCTATCGGCGCATGACAGTTTCAACATTTCGAAACCGACAACACTTCGTTTCACACTACGTTCCAGCGCGTGTTCCCGTGCGTTTCAGGTCAACAGCGAGCGACTATCGCTGAAAAAACAATTTGAAAGCGAGTAAAAACAAATTAAAATCAAATAAAACAAATAAATAGTAAAAATCGAGTTATGTGTGAAACTCTAAACTGAAAAAAAGGTACGTGGAAAATCCATTATTTTTTTATTTGTTTTTATTTAAAGTTAAAAAGTTTAGAAAAAGAGTGTTCTAGAAACCATCAACACCGTTGTTTATTGATAACCCTTTGAACTTTGTCGATTACGCGCTTCGTTGATGAATACGGCTCGTTAAGAGTTTTTTTTTGGTCTTTTGTGTTAACAGAATAAGTGATTAATCTTCCATGAAAATTTGCACCAATTAAAACTTTATTTAAAATTTAGTAAATAACAATTTATAACTTCGAAATAATATTTTAATAATCGTTGAAACGTTATCTGATTGAATTTATTGATGTGTTTATCTGAAATTGTTGCTTATATTTCATTTTGCAAAATATTATAAAATATATTTAAATAAATCCTTTACTAATACATAAAATAAATAATGTAAAAAGTGTTTTTATTAACACTTCTCCGAATTAAATTAAATCATATTTTTTTAAACTTTTCCGGCTCATCCACCAATTTTTTGAATCAAAATTTATATCATTATTTTAAATTTTTAATAAAATATGATCATTATGGTTATCCCAAAAAGGGATTGAGGAAGAGAAACGATCGTCAATTCGTAACAAAGAATGAAACCCTCTCTTACATCGAATAAAGGCAGTATCCACTTTATTTACCGAGTGCCATTTGTCTCTCTCTCGGTGGGTAAAGGACCATCACCGAGGAAAGTCCTAGAATCGACAAAGAACGGACTATTAATGACTATTCACTTGGAGCGCATTAAAAAATATATCCCAGTATTCTCTTTCTTACCCCAACATTTTCCGCGCAGATAAATTCAATTTGAAATGTCCTTTTAGCGCTTTCCTTAATGAGGACACAAGAATAGATGGAAGAAAAAAAATGCGCTTGAAAGGGAATTGTAATAATAAATGTCCCCGCGGGTCTACCTATTAGCAAATTTTCAGCAGACGTCGTCTGTCGTGCACAAGGAAGCGGTAATAAGTAGGACAAGAAGCCTTGAGAATGTTAAGATTTGAGCTTTTCGAGCACCAGCGTAATAATTGAGGACTCTGTTTGACTTTGTTTTCTTCTTTTTATGTTATTCTAGTTTAAATTAAAACCAAAAAAGATTTGTTAATGTTTATAAATTTGTTTATAAATGCATTTATTTCAACTTTTGATCCCAAAAATATTTATTTACGTTCCTCAAAACAAAATGTTTCAATATTTTTTCGTTTTTTACACGTTCCAGTAATGCGTTATCGTTGTCATAGAAACGAATTTCAATGTTTTAGGTAACAAAGCAATCAAGCCAAAATTGGAAAATCATTTATTATTTTCGTTTTATTCTAACAAAAAAATAGCGGTTCCAAATTACAACAAAGTTAATACAATAAGTCAACAGTTCCCTCAGAAGCTGCATTCTGGTTCTAGCGTTGATTTTAATGATGTAGGGAAAGTCCATAAACTTTACAATTAATAATAATAACAATATAATTGTCAATATCAATTTGACACCATGGCAGAAAAATGTGGCAATTCTGCCAAAATACAAAAACCCAAGAAATAATATCTAGCATAATCAAACAATGCAATAACACGCAAACTAGTAGTCAATAGGCTTCATTAATGGGCTTGGTGGGAAAAAAGATTTATAGAGTTCTGTATTGATAACTCACAACTTTATGACGATGCCACAACCAAAGTTATAGAGATTGAAGACAAAGTTGGGATGAAAAGTGTTCTTTAAAAGTTGCCATAGAAGAGGCTAATTAAATAGCTTCAGTTTTACCAACAAGAGGAGACTACCGAAAAATTAGACAATCTTAAGAAATAAATTTTTGAAATGATCGAGAATTTTTTCGAATTTTGCAATTTTCGCCGATTAAATTTTAAAAATTCGTATAAAATCCATTTTTTGAAATATGAGGATGAAAATTTCCCAAAGTGTTAATAAGAGTGTCCTCTTTCCAATGAATTAACCCGTATTGAAAAATAACTTTTAGTTTTTGAGAAAATAATATTTGAAGTTTTGATAAAATTTTCGATGTTGCAATTTACATCGATAACTTTCAAAATTCGCTATAAAATTAATTTCTTGAAGGATCCTTGTGGAAATATCACCAATTATTAATTAAAGTATCCTCTTTTTAATGCAAAAAGCCGTTTTGAAAAATCACTTTTAGTTCTTGAGAAATAAATTTTTGAAATAATCGACAATTTTTTCGAATTTTGCAATTTTCGCCGATTAAGTTTTAAAAATTCGTATAAAATCCATTTCTTGGAATATGAGTATGAAAATTTCCCAAAGTGTTAATAAAAGTGTCCTCTTTCCAATGAACCAACCCGTTTTGAAAAATAACTTTTAGTTTTTGAGAAAACAATATTTGAAGTTTTGATAAAATTTTCGATGTTGCAATTTTCATCGATAATTTTCAAAATTCGCTATAAAATTAATTTCTTGAAGGATCCTTGTGGAAATATCACCAATTATTAATTAAAGTATCCTCTTTTTAATGCAAAAAACCGTTTTGAAAAATCACTTTTAGTTCTTGAGAAATAAATTTTTGAAATAATCCACCATTTTTTCGAATTTTTTAATTTACGCCGATTAAGTTTTAAAAATTCGTATAAAATCCATTTCTTGGAATATAAGTATGAAAATTTCCCAAAGTGTTAATAAGAATGTCGTCTTTCCCATGAACTAACCCGTTTTGAAAAATAACTTTTAGTTTTTGAGAAAATAATATTTGGAGTTTTGATAAAATTTTTGATGTTGCAATTTTCATCGATAACTTTCAAAATTTGCTATAAAATTAATTTCTTGAAGGATCCTTGTGGAAATATCTCCAATTATTAATTAAAGTATCCTCTTTTTAATGCAAAAAGCCGTTTTGATAAATCACTTTTAGTTCTTGAGAAAAAAATTTTTGAAATGATCGAATTTTTTTTCGAATTTTGTAATTTTCGCCGATTAAATTTTAAAAATTCGTATAATATCTATTTTTTGGAATATGAGTATGAAATTTTCCCAAAGTGTTAATAAGAATGTCGTTTTTCCAATGAACTAACCCGTTTTGAAAAATAACTTTTAGTTTTTGAGAAAATAATATTTGAAGTTTTGATAAAATTTTTGATGTTGCAATTTTCATCGATAACTTTCAAAATTTGCTATAAAATTAATTTCTTGAAGGATCCTTGTGGAAATATCACCAATTATTAATTAAAGTATCCTCTTTTTAATGCAAAAAGCCGTTTTGAAAAATCACTTTTAGTTCTTGAGAAATAAATTTTTGAAATGATCGACAATTTTTTCGAATTTTGCAATTTTCGCCGATTAAGTTTTAAAAATTCGTATAAAATCCATTTCTTGGAATATGAGTATGAAAATTTCCCAAAGTGTTAATAAAAGTGTCCTCTTTCCAATGAACTAACCCGTTTTGAAAAATAACTTTTAGTTTTTGAGAAAACAATCTTTGAAGTTTTGATAAATTTTTCGATGTTGCAATTTTCAATTCGCTATAAAATTAATTTCTTGAAGTGTGCTTGTGGAAATATCACCAATTATTAATTATATTATCCTTTTTTTAATGCAAAAAGCCGTTTTAAAAAATCACTTTTAGTTCTTGAGAAATACATTTTTGAAATAATCGCCAATTTTTTCGAATTTTGCAATTTTCATCGATAGTTTTCAAAATTCGCTATAAAATTAATCAAGACAAAAACTATGTCATCATTTTACTGAGATACTCCTACTCCTTGCTGTTCTATGCCAGAAATTGTTAAAAGTAGTCGATGGACTCCGGTCATTTAGTGATTCAATAAGGTTGCATGATCTTGGCTAGATACTTTTCAAATTTTTGTAACGGTGAGTTGAAGGCGCTGACAATGGATCGAAGTGGGAAATCCGGTTTTTTTGGATTTTGGGCAGACCATAGAGTTTGGGACACCTGCTTGATTTTTCCTGAGGGATTAGGGTTTTCTTGATCTCTGAGTCTTGATTTGAGTTGCCTCTATTTTTGATTTGGTCTTTTTTTCCAGGTAAGTTGTAGGGTTTCTTGCTGCTGGTTTGTAAGCTGGTTCATGAGCAAGTCCGTGATCTTNAAAAATCACTTTTAGTTCTTGAGAAATAAATTTTTGAAATAATCGACAATTTTTTCGAATTTTTTAATTTACGCCGATTAAGTTTTAAAAATTCGTATAAAATCTATTTTTTGGAATATGAGTATGAAAATTTCCTAAAGTGTTAATAAAAGTGTCTTCTTTCCATTGAACCAACCCGTTTTGAAAAATAACTTTTAGTTTTTGAGAAAACAATATTTGAAGTTTTGATAAAATTTTCAATGTTGCAATTTTTATCGATAACTTTCAAAATTCCCTATAAAATTAATTTCTTGAAGTATCCTTGTGGAAATATCACCAATTATTAATTATATTATCCTTTTTTTAATGCAAAAAGCCGTTTTAAAAAATCACTTTTAGTTCTTAAGAAATAAATTTTTGAAATAATCGCCAATTTTTTCGAATTTTGCAATTTTCATCGATAGTTTTCAAAATTCGCTATAAAAAACTATGTCATCATTTCTATGCCAGAAGTTGTTAAAAGTAGTCGATGGACTCAGGAGATTTAGTGATTCAATAAGGTTGCATGATCTTGGGTAGATACTTTTCAAGTTTTTGTAACGGTGAAGGCGCTGACAATGGATCGAAGTGGGACATCCGGTTTGTGGATTTTGGGCAGACCATAGAGTTTGGGACACCTGCTTGTTTTTTTCCCGAGGGATTAGGGTTTTCTTGATATCGGAGTCTTGATTCGAGATGCCTCTATTTTTGATTTGGTCTTTTTTTCCAGGTAAGTTGTAGGGTTTCTTGCTGCTGGTTTGTAAGCTGGTTCATGAGCAAGTCCGTGATCTTGTTCTTATAGAACACTGAATCCATAACCACTGTGGGTGCTTTGACATTGCCTTTGTCCGCCAGTAGTATGAAGATGTCTTGTTGGATTCGACGTTGATAATGATTGATAATGAGAGGTGGGTGCTTCGATTTTGCGGTGTATTCCGTTTGCAAGCCCTCGAATTTCTTTTGGAGTTTTCTGGTTTTTAGAGCTTTGTTGCTTTCGCTACGAAAAAGCGTTTGGACTTCTAAACGGCTCCAAATGATGGTGTGCAACTCTTGGCTTANTTGAGTTGCCTCTATTTTTGATTTGGTCTTTTTTTCCAGGTAAGTTGTAGGGTTTCTTGCTGCTGGTTTGTAAGCTGGTTCATGAGCAAGTCCGTGATCTTGTTCTTATATTCCACTGAATCCATAACCACTGTGGCTGCTTTGACATTGCCTTTGTCCGCCAGTAGTATGACGATGTCCTGTTGGATTCGACGTTGATAATGATTTCTTCGACAGGAAGAGTAAGTTTTCTAGTTTTTAGAGCTTTGTTGCTTTCGCTACGAAAAAGTGTTTGGACTTCTAAACGGCACCAGATGATGGTGTGCAACTCTTGGCTTAGGAATAGATGAAGTTTGTAGAGCTCCTATTCAGTGTTGTTAAGGTTCTTCCTCATTTGGTTGATATCCTCTCTGAGAAGGGAGTTGCTGGCTTGACTTTGTCGGAATCTGGTGTGGTGAACTAGTCATATAAGTTGAGAATGTTACTCAACTCATCACAGCTTGTTGTGCAGAGAAGCCAGTAGGCAGAATAAAAAAAAACATTGAGTTCAGCATCTCTCCATACCGAGATTCATTCATAGTTTGCAAGATGGAGAATCAAAAGAAACATTCCGATTGTCGTTCAACTGTCAGCAGTAAATAATACTTATGTTCGTTTGCTTCTAACCACTTTGCTTCTGCCCACANCGATTTTGCGGTGTATTCCGTTTGCAAGCCCTCGAATTTCTTTTGGAGTTTTCTGGTTTTTAGAGCTTTGTTGCTTTCGCTACGAAAAAGCGTTTGGACTTCTAAACGGCTCCAAATGATGGTGTGCAACTCTTGGCTTAGGAATAGATGAAGTTTATAGAGCTCCTATTCAGCGTTGTTAAGGTTCTTCCTCATTTGGCTGATAACCTCTCTGAGAAGGGAGTTGCTAGCTTGACTTTGTCGGAATCTGGTGTGGTGAACTAGTCATATAATAATAAGGGAGTAACTTTGCTGCATAAAAAGAATCAGATAAAGCCAGACTTCTTTTCTAGCATCTCTCCATACCGACATTCATTCATAGTTTACGAGATGGAGAATCAAAAGAAACATTCCGATTGTCGTTCAACTGTCAGCAGTAAATAATACTTATGTTCGTTTGCTTCTAACCACTTTGCTTCTGCCCACAATGATTTCTTCTGCAAATGGACATAACATGATATTTTCCTTCTACATGGTGATTTTGTTTTAACTAAGATAATTTGCTTCTATCCCCAATGTATTTTTCTACCTACAACTATGATATTGTTTCTGCACATGATTCTGACTTATGATTCTTTGAATTTAAGCCTAAGGTTGGTATTAATTTCTTCTGCCAATGATCATGGTATTGTTGCTAATACAGTTTACCTTTTATGTTGTATTTTATATTTTGCTCCAAGGTATAATAAGTTTCATTATTATATTAATGCTAAAAAAGTAAAATCCCGGCACCTCCACCATTATTTTTATTTGTAATTTTTAACATTAATTAAAAAAGTTGCTACAAATACTTAATGAAATTAAAACAATAATACAAGAAACATACTACTGAATCATAATTGTTTAAAATTCTGCTCGATTTCAATAAATTAAACGGGATTTCTCAAACTCGAGCTAAAACTGTATCAAACCGTTTTAACGCGGCGATGAATTCACCTCTATTAAATACGCAATTTCAAATTGTAAAAGTGGTCGAAGCCCAAGGATGAACGAATGAATTAATTTTGAAAATAACATTTTCCCATTAAAATGGGAGGCCATATCCCGATCGCATATTGCGCAAAATTATAATCGCATAAATAGGTAAATACATGTTTTGAATAGATACAAACGGATATTAATTTTTAACCTGAATGTAAATTTTGTTTGAACATTATACAAATACGAAATTCCGATCGATTGCAATTTAACATGAGACGGGGTTATTTGCCGAGTTCGATAGGAGGTAATTCTGTGATGTTTGCAGTTTATAGATTAAAATGTACGGTTGTCGAACCGTATTCTTGGTGGTCTTCGTTTTGGGACCTGCGGCGTTCGGTTTTCGATGTGACAGGACACCACCGGATGTCACAAAACCCAAGAGCCCATCCCACGGTGAATATTTGCTAGAAATTAACGGAGATCCATCTAACTACGTCTCCGGGTACACATACAAGGGTAAGTAAACTTTGGTGTAGATTTGCAAATATTTGTATTCGCCTTCTTCCTATTATCAGATTGATAATTATGCGGGTTAATTAATGTCGTTACTTTGTACGTTTCGTTATCATAACAAAACTTAATAATCTCTGAGAAAGTTACAAAACGTTTGCATAATCCAACGTTAATTAAAAGCACGGCAACAAATCTACGAGAAAACGAACTTAAACACAAAAAGGGTACCCAGTTTAATCCGGCGTGCTCGGAATTTTTAATAAACGGCCAGTCATAATATTTTCTAACGTCGAACGCCAGCTCGTCGGTGATTAATGAACCGACGCGCCGGATATGGACAAAAAACCATAGCGATGCTGTGCTCGAGCTGAAGTTGGCAGATGGCACTGCGAAAAAGAGATAGCTCTTTTTCACGGTCCATGCACCACCGTACATATATTAGCGGTATTTTCATAAAACTATCATTAACTTAGCATTTGTTTAAACCAACATAATTGGATATTAAAGTAATATTAGGTTACAAAACTTTCAAATTCCAACGTTTTATTTAATTAAAAATTATCTCAAAATTATATATAATTCAATTAATGTGTTTTCATTTATTATTTACGAAAAGAAAATGCTTTCCAAATCGACGATTAGATCAATATTTCATTTGACACATGATAATAGGAAACGTCTGTCATGGGTAATGGATCATAATAGGATATGCTTTCATTGTGTGCTACAATGCATTATCCTAAAGTCATTTGTCAAACGCTTTATTCATTCCACTTGAACGCTTTTTGAGTATTGATTTATATCTATCTAATTCTCATCGTTGTTTTTATCATATATATAGAAAATATTTTATTTACTTCAATTCGTACATTTTTCCAATTTGATTTCTACCAGTCGAGCTTTGTGTTATTCATTTAATATTATAGTTCTTCTGTCAAACCAGTGAATGCCTTGATAGTTTCCATTATGAAAAAAATTTCTGAGCACTTTTTCTATATCTTACATTATGCACTCAACCTAGCGACTTATTTCCAGCATACTGATAATTACTGTAACCTTCGTTCAGCTGGTGGGAACGTAATTAAATGCTAAGCAGGCTTTAAAAACTCTCATCAAGTGTATTTTCATATCCTCTAGGCTCCATTGAAGAAGAGCAGGAAATATACCGTCGGGTCCCAGTGTTTTGAAGGGCTCAAAACTGCCGACGGCCCACTCTACCAACTCATTTCTTACAACCTGGTTGGCTATCTGCCAGTAGTGGCTGGTAGGAGAGTTATTAAATTCCACTTAGTGTAGAAGCGTTGAAAAATCTTGCAAATAACCTGGAAAATGAACATCCTTAGAAAAACTGCCATCAGACTTTTAGATAGAGATAGTATTTTATTTAGGCGTGAGGCCTCAGCAGCTCTCTCCACCTCTTCACAAAAACCTCTCCAGGCTTGTCGTTTCTTGACAAGGTGAAACGACTGGTGTGTTTTGAACAAGGTCCAGTCAGAATTCAGTCTAGTTTGTTTTGCTTTATTGAAAGCTTTTCTTCAAGTGACCCTCAGTGAATGTAGATCAGGAGTCCACCAAGGTGTAGCCCTCCATAATTCTCTCAGGGCATGCACTGTGGAAGGCCTGAGTTAGTGTGCCACCCAAGAGGTTTGAGTAATTCTCCAATTCATCGGTATTTCCAGGAAGGAATCTCGCAATTGCTCATTTAGACAGCTTGCAAAAATGCTCAAGTCAGTCCGCTTTGGATCCCGGACCCTCTTTTTCAAGAGCATAGTTGGTCCTAAATCAAAAGTGATCCAGTTTGTAAGCTGGTTCATGAGCAAGTCCGTGATCTTGTTCTTATATTCCACTGAATCCATAACCACTGTGGCTACTTTGACATTGCCTTTGTCCGCGTAGTATCATCAGTAGTATGATGATGTCCTGTTGGATTCGACGTTGATAATGATTTCTTCGACAGGAAGAGTGAGTTTTCTGGTTTTTAGAGCTTTGTTGCTTTCGCTACGAAAAAGCGTTTGGACTTCTAAACAGCTCCAAATGATGGTGTGCAACTCTTGGCTTAGGAATAGATGAAGTTTGTAGAGCTCCTATTCAGTGTTGTTAAGGTTCTTCCTCATTTGGCTGATATCCTCTCTGAGAAAGGAGTTGCTGGTTTGACTTTGTCGGAATCTGGTGTGGTGAACTAGTCATATAAGTTGAGAATGTTACTCAACTCATCACAGCTTGTTGTGCAGAGAAGCCAGTAGGTAGAATTAAAGAAAACATTGAGTTCATAATAGAGTAACTTTGCTGCATAAAGAGAACCTAATAAAGCCACACTGCTTTTCTAGCATCTCTCCATACCGACATTCGTTCATAGTTTCTAAGATAGAGAATCAAAAGAAACATTCCGATGGTCGTTCAACTGCCAGCAGTAAATAATACTTATGTTCGTTTGCTTCTATCCACTTTGTTTCTGCCCACAATGTTTTCTTCTGCAAATGGACATAACAATACTCTTCTCATGATATTTTGCTTCTACATATGGTGATTTCGTTCTAACTATGGTAATTTGCTTCTGTGCCAAATGTATTCTTTTACATACAACTATGATATTGTTTCTGCATATGATTCTGACTTATGATTTTTTGCATCTAAGCTTAAGGTTGGTATTAATTTCTTCTGCTAATGATCATGGTATTGTTCCTAATACAGTTTACTTTTTATGTTGTGTTTCCCTTCTACAAATCATGATATTATTCTTTCCCAGATATTTTGCTCCAAGGCACAATTCTCTCAGGGCATGCACTGTGGAAGGCCTGAATTAGTGTGCCACCCAAGAGGTTTGAGTAATTCTCCAATTCATCGGTATTTCCAGGAAGGAATCTCGCAATTGCTCATTTAGACAGCTTGCAAAAATGCTCAAGTCAGTCCGCTTTGGATCCCGGACCCTCTTTTTTAAGAGCATAGTTGATCCTAAATCAAAAGTGATCCATCTACGGTCAGACATAGACGCCTCCTGGCAGACACACCAGTTGCTAATCTTTTGAGATACGTTCACCGATGCCAAAGTCAAATTAATAATCGTCTGACACCTAGCATTGACGAACGTGGGTTTACAGCCTTGGTTGATTATTTCCAAGTAATAAATTTAAGCAAGGTCTTACCTCTAAAGTTTCCTTCGTCACATCCCCAGGCAACAGAATAAGCGTTGGAATTGCAGCCTACAATGAGTAGCCATTTATTTACCTTGCTAGCGTTGACTAATGCTGTCAAGGCCGCAGTAGGAGTCATCTCTTCTATAGGCAGGTAGGCAGATGCTAGACACAGCGTCGTTTTCTTCCTGCAGGAGATACGCGGAGATATGTCTAAGAACGTAGATTGCAGCTCTCGGTCGATCATGAGTACTGAAAAAGAAAACAAAACCGATAAGAGAACCAAAACCAGAAACATTTGAGTTGATAGTCTATGGCTCTTGATTTAGAGCAATGCATGTCAAGATGCCAGCATAATACTGCAGTTGCAGCCCTGCCACGGTGCAAGTTGCATTGTATTACTCTTAATGTCGCAGGGTCCTGTCCAAACTCCTCTCTAGGCATCTGGATTTGGGGAGCAGGACGAAGACGACCTGTGCGAGGTTCCCACTGGTTTCGCCCTATCTGAGCCGGTGGTTTCACCAACCCGCTCAGTGGTCTTGGACGCAGAAACTGCCTCCAATCTAACCAAGGGAGAAACTGAGCTGGACTGCTCAGCCCCGGTCGTCTCGGTTTTGTTTAGTTCATTTTCCTCATTGATGCCGCCACGCGACACCCGAGTGAATATGGTACTAAGCAGAAAGTTCATTCTACCTTCGTGCGTAGCAAGCCATTCAGCCGGTTTTTCAAAAAGCAGCGAAGGTCATGAGCATGCCGTTGTTATACTCTTTCTCCTCAGAATGTAACAAAGACCAGTTTGCAACCTCTAAGTGAGGGTTTTGTTGCGTCATGTTTCTTCCTTGTCTAATCGTTCCCTTGATTTTCTTCTTTGGGGCACTTTCATTGTCTTCTTACAGAGTTCTTATAATGCTGTCAAATGACCAACTCCTCATTCGGTTCGGAAATTTAGTATACCAGGATTCCAGTGTATCCCAAAATCTTTTCTTTATTCTAAGGGAAGTTCCTATTTTTTGTAAGTTTTACGTTATTATCGTTCTATTAAGTTTTTCTTTTCTTCTGAAAAATCTTGGATATTGATCTATTGCGATTTTGGACGGCCCTTGGGTTGATGAGCTCATTGGTAATCACGTTGGGTTGACTCTCTCCCACTTTTGTTACCAACGACACTTCGCTAGCTAACTCATCCAAGGTTTTGGGTCCACTAAGAGATGGATATCCTGTATTTCAGATATCTTGGGTTCTCTGCATTTGTACATTTCAACTCAACCTAGTATAATATTAGGGCCCTGAGAGAGATCCAACCTAAGTCTTCTTTTTATAGAGGGAACTAAAAATCTGTTAGAACTGGAAATTGTATAGGTCGAGTAGTGACGGGTTGGAGGAATTAACTTAATTAACCCTACATCTTCGGAATCTGCCTCCTTTACTTCATTTCTACTCTATCTTACTTTCTAATATTTTTGTTTGGAACTCTCATCATGATCTTTTCATAGTTCCAACAACAATGTTAGAATGTATCAACCATCTTGCTAAATCATATACCGCGATAAATTTATTTAATTGTTGGACCAAAATAAATTTTTAAATTTTTATAAAACCAAAAAGTACTTTACGTTGAATAATATGCAGCGAAACAGTTTTCCAAACAAAAACGAGATTCATCTTTGTGGACAATATTATCGGATCTTGTTTCTAATACTTTTTTGAATAGTAGCAGAATAGTGGCAGAACCCAACCCAATTCAAGCCAATTGACCCCAACAAAACCCAACCGAATCCAACAAGATGGTTACGGGTGGATGGCGTTGCATCGGAGTTCTTTTTTCTTCTTTCTGTCCTGTGAAGAAAACAACCTGAGCTCCACCATTTATCT